TAGATCTCCAGCAAGGATTAGCATGTTGTGTGGTGGTATTTCGTTTGTGCATTTTTGTAGATCTTCGTAGAAGATGTCTTTTTCTGCGTCGCTTTTATCATTTGTTGGGGCATAAGCATCTATGATGGTCGTTGATGGATTGCCCTTAAAATGCGCGATCAAGATACGGTTTGATATTTTCTCGGACGAAGTGAAGTATTTTGATATTTTGGAACTTATAAGTAGCCCTACTCCCCCTTGTCCTTCCGGCGTAGCTGAGGAATATTCGAAGCGCCATGTTGAGTTGTTTAGGACTTCGAGGTGTGTGCTGACTTGTTCTTGTGTTTGCCACCGATGTTCTTGTATAGCGACAAGATCGATGTTGTTCAAGGAACATCCGAGGACGAGTTGGTGTATTTTGCCTTGATGTTTAAGGGTTCGTACGTTGTATGTTGATATTTTTATGGCCTCTCGATGTGATGCGAAGGCTTTTGTTTGTTTATTTTTGTTTCTTTTTGTTCGATTTGCTGCTGCATTGTCGAGCAGATGACTGCCCTTTCATATGCTTGGAGTTGTTTAAGTTCCTTGCATGCGGGCGACAAAACGAGTTGTGGTTGCCCGGAATGGGTTCTTCGATTATTGTTTTCGGAGTCATTTGGAACGCGATTCGGGTGACTGATCCTGAAAAGCTTTACCAGAACCCATCTTAACCGTCGAGGACGTTTCCATTCGGCACTACGAGAAAGTGAAGGGTTGGATTTTGCCGAAATGGTCTTACGCCATCTTAAGCTTATGCACATCTTTTAGAGATATTGAGTTGAGATTAGATGTGTATGTACGCCGTCTGAAGGATGTCTTTACATGATTTTACAATGCTTTTATGCGATGTTATTTCGATCTTTGCTTGATATTCACAACGACACCATATCTTAGTGCGATTATTCAGCAATGGTTTAATCCTATATTGTGCCAGGGAATCTGTTTGAGAGTTTAGCTATGATAAATCCCAAATATAAATGTTTGGTTAGAAATAATACGTTTCATCCATGTTCTGTAACTTCCACTAGTATATTAAACTTCTACTTCAGTTTAGAACTAATTTTACTTTTAAGACTAGACGTCTCAGTATTGGGAGTTCCACCTATTAGCACCTTCAGGTGTTACCCTGTCAAGGTTTCTTTCTTTGTTTCAAATTGTTATTATCCAGATATTTTTGATTATTATCGCAAAACTTCCTCTGTTTTTTTTTCAATTATTTCTATAGGCCAATTAATCTTCTCATTTAGAAATACGCCGAATGTTTAATTAATAATTTTCGAAGTCAACAGCTCATTCTCGTTTTGTCTTTCAAAACATTTTGTGCGTACTATAATTAATTATGTTTACATACATACTACATAACATTTTAACTTTTTCTATTTATTTTATTTACGGTTTGTTTTCTGTCAAAAACAGTACATATGTACTCAATCAATAATCTAATTAAATAATTTATTCTCATATGTATGTAGGCGCTATATTGTAAATTATTCAAGTTTTTGGATTAAAACCTAATATAATTTAGTGTGGAAGATAAATGATTTTTTCTACTGACTTTTCACATTTTATTATTATTTCTCTAACGATTAGTAAGATCCCAGTTGGCCATCGTGAAATTTTGTTTAATGGAGTATATCGTAATTTTTGCTTCCCTTTTCTCAAGATTCGATTCACATGAAGAAAAAAAACAAAAAAAGAAGAAAAAAAAATTACGGATAGATGTAACTATGGAGTGATGTCATTTCTTTTTTGCTTTCCGATTATTTAGAAATCGAATTGTCAGAGTGCATTGAGTTGAGTAGTTTAGAGTAAAATAAGAAGAATTTATTTAAGTTAATATTATATCCATTTTCCATTTATCATATACATTACATAAAATAAACAAGATATAATCAAAAAATCTTCTTCTAGTTATATACGTCCATAAATAATATACTAATGTCCTTATGATGATGAGATGAGGAAAAATACTGTTTGCTAGTTTAAATATGCTTCTACCAATGAAAAAACTATCACGTAAGTTCCCGTCTAAATTTACAGCATTATATTAATATAGTAATAGATTTTTAATGAACATGCAATATTTTATAGACGTTAATATATAGACAAAAAGATACAAAGAAGTAAGAGGTAAGAGATCAGTTAGCGAAAATGTTAAAAAGATTTTTGATGGTAACATCATATATGTCTCTTCTTTTTTTTTTTGTTTTCTCAATTTTCACATCTTTACTAAAACGTTACTAAAATATTTCATGAATTTCTGACAATACAAAAGTGTTAACATTTATTTTCAAAACGATCATGAGTATTTGATCTATTTTGTTGTTTTTTTTAAACTTCATCAAATAGAGGAACATAATGGTAGATAATCTCTGTAAATTATATGCTCGAATAGACCATTGTAAAATTTGATCTATACTTTGTAGAGAGAGTAGACGTTGTTTTTTTACTGAACAGATTCTTTGTTTTTCAAATAAAGATATGTCTTATAAATCGATTCATATCAATCATATAACGTGTCTTAGAGAGTATATATATATGTAATTTATTTAAAAAATTTAGTAAAAAATTATTCAAAATTCATTGAGGTAAAATATTTATTTAAAATTTTGAAAAATATAATTATACTGAATGACAAGTAACGATAAATAATTAGTCACTCTATTCATATTTTTATTATTAATTATTTTTCTTTTTATATTTGCCATTATGATGAATTATCAACTTTTATAAACATATTTTTTTATGCTAGTTAAATGTCATTAGAGTATATAAAAAAAAACTCTTTTTTTTTTGAAAATAAACTTCATTCAATAGAATTTAGTGTTATTACAATTCGATTTTTATTAATAGACTTGAATAAATAAATGAAGAATTCAACTACTAAAAATATTTTTGTTTTTTTTAAACATATTGAATATGAATTTATTTTATTGTTTCAATGATCATATATTTGTTTGTTTCAAAAGAGTTGTTAATTCACTTATGACATTCCCTAATTAGATTGTTTTTCTAACATCTGAATTTTTCATTACTCCACTATTTGTTTGATTGCTCTTTTCTTTTTTTTTTTGTTCATTGAATATGTACATGGTTTCTAATTTCATATGAGATGTTGAGTACGGTATTTCAGATGATCTTTCTACATTAGAATTGACAATTATAAACCTTTATTTGGTTAATTCATATTGTCATATAAAATTTATTATATCTGACTGCCAAATATAATTTTTGTCTTAGAATAGAAACTTGTCAAATATACAGATATAACTTCAACAATGAGTAGAATGGACTAAATTTATACAAAAAAAAAAAAATAACTTAAATCTCTAATGGGCGTTAAGCAAAAAAACTCAGCAATTACATTACAAAACGACACATCATAAATCATTTTTTGCACTTCGTTATTTGAGATAGTTCTTTTTTTCATTTCTTTTCTATTAATAAATTATATAAAAGAAACTAGAACAATAAAATAACATAACTATTCGCCTCTACGTACAATGTAAAAGAAGACGTCTAATACTTGCTTTCGTGGATGCAATTGAGAATAAAAATGTAACGAACCAACTATAATTTCTTGACAGCCTTATGATTAGTCCGTTCAGTGAGGCGTACAATTTCTGTTATAAAGAATTAAATCATCAATATGGGATATAGAATCAAGGTGAAAACATCAGGTATCTTAGAGGAAAACAATAATTTTAGTTTTAAAACAAAGATGTCCTATTTTGACATTGTATAAATTTAGCTGTCATAATCAATTCTAGAAAATTTCAAAAGAATCTGGACGAAAGAAAAGTTTGTGAGGCGAGGGCTAAAATACTTTTATATTTCTCTATGAACAGTACAAACAGAAAATGCCGGTGTAAATTTGACATCATACAATATAAAATATTAAGTAAAAGTATAAGACTTTCATGTATTATGTTTGACAAAACTTCCATTTACTTGATGTGTTTCTACAAAGATTTTTCAAAAAATAAACGATATTTATCATATTCTGAAAAATTTGTTGAGTAATCAAAATGAAACAAAAAATCCAAACCTAATCAATCTTTTTGTGTTGTATCCAATGATGAAAACTGTTTAAAACAGTTTTTCAAATAAAGGTAGAAAATTTCGATGCCACTTGGATGTTTTTGTAGTTTTTACAATTCTGTCTTTGTGTTTCTAGAAAAATCTAAACTTTTAAAATCTCTAGCACATTTTCTCTGTACCAGTGAAAGGCCCACAAAATCTGTATGAACTTTCTATAGAAAGGAAATTCCATGATTTTACACTTATTAAAGTCAGCAATCTAAACAGATTGATGGAGAATACCATTGTATACAACATCGAAAGATGAGTCTGATACTTTTATATTATTATTGTAAGAAACTTTACTTATACATCTCATTTTAGAGTTTAGAATATTTCATGTTTTAGAATAGAATGCAATGAATAATACGACGTCACCTGAATTATATTATTATAAGGAAATAACAAAAACAATATCAAAAGTAGTCTCACCATTTATATTAATATTATGTTTTATTGGAAATGTATTATCATTTTTCGTATTGATTAGTCATCGTTTACGCAAACAGTCTACGGCATGTTATTTAGCTGTTCTATGTATTGTTGAAATTGGAACATGTTTCACAGGTCTACTGAGACAATTTTTAATAGATGCATTTAAAATTGATATACGAACAATGGAACATTTAATTACAAATTCGTATTATCGTACATGGATATGTCGTATTCATATTTATTTGACATATATTTTTCTTCGTTTATCATCTGTTCTTCTTGTTGTTGTAACAATGCAACGATATTTATATGTCTCAAAAAAGTCGACATGTACACAAAAAAATGTATTTATGCAAGTATTTTCAATAATTATAATTGTTTGTTTATGTGAATCACATTTTTTCATTTATTATGAATATACACTTTCAGATACCCGACCAAAAGTTGAACAAAGAATGGAATGTACAGTGGATAAAGAACGACATATAGATTATTATAAATTTCGAAGTGAATATTATGGAAAAATATCTTTATTTTTATTTACATTATTACCGTTTGCACTCATGATTATATTCAATGGTCTGTTAATACGCACTATTCATCAGTCAACTAAGCGTATTCAGAGTAAAAAATCTTCAAAAAAACGAAATGTTACACGAATGCTACTCACCGTTAGTCTATTTTACACTATCCTCACATCACCAGCTAGCATTTACCTTGCCCTTGCACCACCCAAATATCAGTTACGTCCTTGGTATGTTATACAATGGACACTATTAAAACTTCTATTTTATTTATGTCATTCAGTCAATTTTTTACTCTATTGTGTTAGTGGTTCAACATTTCGTGAAGAGTTTTTAGCTATGGTTTTATGTCAAACATCCTCTTCACGCTATCGTCATCAAAGTGAACGTGAACAACCAAAATCTAGATTTTTAAATAGTTTCTACCGTTTTTTATCTACACAACGACAACGAACTCAAGGGACTTAGAAGATTTGCTCGCGGACACTTGCTTGTATAATAACTTGCTCGCCCGGACTGATGCTCGCTCGGATACATCCTCATGGGACACTTGCTCATCGAACTAGTGCTGAACATGGAGAGCTTATCTACATAATTCTCGTATCGACCGTTTTTATCATTACATTATTGAAATCTATATGAAGACGTGTATGGCATTTACAAAAGATTTTTTTCGGCATTTTTGCGATCGGCAATATACAAAAAACCATTATATAGACGTAACAGAGCGTTTTTGAACGCTTTAGAAATAATAACAGGCATTTTAAGCAGTGAAAATGATAAATTGCTGGTAGTTCTTTGAAATTTATACTATTCTCAATACTCGTCGAAAAATATTTTGTTTATGAACACTCAATGTACAAAATTTACTCAATATAAGAAATATAAATTAGTCTGAATATATTTTCTAAACGATTTTACTCTTTCTATTTAAAGCGTCTTCTATTTAAAAATGTTCGGTTAGCTAGTCCCAATCCGGAAGAGCAAGTTGTACACGTGTCAGCGAGAAACTGTCCATATTCCAACTTAAGAGCCAATGGAATTTTTGGATTATTTATCAGCTACCAGAAGGTCAAAATATAATTATAAATCGCTAATATCAAAATACTATAATCAATAAACAAAAATTGTGTTTGTGCGTATGTGTGCTTTAAATCTATTGTGCTACTGTTGTCGAATATTGTGTGGCTAATGAATTTTGAAGAAAATTATTGTTATGTTATTGAGGTTACATATGAAAAGCTAAAATGTAATCACTCATCAACGGTTTTTAGTTCTAATAGTACTTCCTTTTTTGTTACATGTAATAAGGAAATAATGATAATTCAAGTTATAACACTGTGTAATTGCTATTAATGCTATTAGTATTCGTCACGAATGGGTTTAAAACTGTTTTTCAAAAGTTTAAAGTTGACAAAAAAATTTCTAAAAAAATTGATATAGTTAAAATTCTAGTTATAATTATCAACTCGGGTTGATCGATATAACTGCGGATGAATGGGTTACAACTCCAAATGGGTAGAGTGATAACCTTTCCAACTCCAGTTATAACTGCATAAGTTTTAGTAATGATTACTAACCTAAAATAAAATTATGAAAGCTCATTTCAGTTTGTATTATGGCACAATTATAACTAAAGTTGAAATAGTTATAACTCTCTCAACTGCAGTTACATCAATCAACACTATCAAACGGAGTTATTACTATAACAATTGTAAATTTTTGACTAAAAGTTAAATTAATTATAACTCAGATAGTTTTAAACCCATCAGTAATATTCGTAGACATCCGTTAAATTAGTTAGTATGGAGATGCACTAAAATAATGATTCTTAAAATTAGACGGTTTGATATCAATGATGAAACTTCCTTGTTTCCTTTCAAGGTCAGTTTTTTTAATGTTAATAAAATAAATAACATTTATGAGTGACTTTTCACAATTTCGAGAAAATATACGTATCTTCTGACAGAATAAAAAAATTCAGAATGTCGACGTGCCATTATCCTAATATCATCGGAAAGCTTATTTTAAGTAAGTCTTGAATTATACTTTTTCAAGCTTCTCCTATTCAGTTTTCTTTTCGTTATTTTGCACATAAATGTACCATCGTTTTGACATGAATTGTTGAGTCAAGATGATTGTGAAATATAGAATGAATAATCATGATACATCTGAGTTATGTTGGTAAAACCTTTTATTTTCCTACACTAAAACCTGAGCTTGTATCAATCATATTTTCTTAATTATGTCAGTTGATATTCCAAAAGATGAGGGATAGAGATATGTATGGAGAACTTTTTTCTGTCCAAGTCTATCCATGTCCATGGACAAATCGGCCTCCTTGTCCGTATGTCTATAGCTTGTCCATGAAGCGAACATTTTTCGACAAAATTATTGTGAAAAGATGTCAGATAGTAAATCATAACCATATACTTTCTCTCTTAGATTATCAGTTGTTGTTTGCCTTTCTTTGATTTTCTTATTGTCACTTCCTTCTCTTTCTCCACATAGCATACTTATATTGTCTACTTAATTGATACTGTAACAGTACTGAAGTGAGTACATTGTACTCTTTGCCATTTACTATACTTTTAAATAAAATTGGTTTAAATCAAATCATAACCATTAAATTATTAAAACAATTTTCGAAAATCCGACTCTGTTAAGTTGTAGCGCTGAGTTTGGGGTATATTTTGACACCACTCCACTCCGAAGTCTGTATCATTAGAATTGTAGAAGAAATCTAGGACACACGCACAGTGGGCATCCAAGCGGATATTAGGCGAAAAAGTCGATTTGTTCTTTTTCCAAATATAAATAGTGTAAAATGTAGCCCTTTGAATTCTCTATCGAATGGTGTATGAATGTCTATTTTGATGTTCACTCCTAAGTGGAGAAAGAAGGACACGAAAACTGCAATACGAATATCGAAAACCATGACATGTATGCACAAAAATGTAATTTTTTCTTCACACAGCTGCTTTCAACGATTGGAAAGGATATATTCGGAATCAGCATACCCTCACCTATCTATTGATATAAAAATGTCTACATTTCCATATCAAATTCACTAAAGAATCGGTAATGGAGTATACCCAGTTTCATTCGAACTGACACGACCTCAATATAGTCGAGTTCCACGATTTTCCTGACCTCGAAAATAACAATAAAATATATCATTATGCTTCCGAACACCCACTCTATCTACAGTGCATACGACTTTTTGCGACTTTTTATCTAAGTCGAATATCGATTTTTCAAAACCCATACGGTTTTCGGGGTATTTCATAGGCTTCTCACTTATAAATGCACTTCCCTCCAAATATAATACCATATTCGGAATCAGCGTGAAAAACTGCATCGAATGGTGTATAGCTCATCTAGTTTCGGTCGCTCGATTTTGAATCCTAGAAATTTCTTAGTTTTTGAGATTAACACAAACAATTTCGTGCTGAAAATTTGAATTTCAAGATAAAGTAACCTGAACGACTCGAAACATGTTTCTGATAGGTTTTCGACAATGCTCTTTCCAGTGGCATCGTTTATAAATATTCAGAAAGTTTTCTGAAGGGTTTTCCAGACGCCGGATCTCTGGAAAACTCTTTAGAAAACTTTTTCAAAATCCAGCTCTCATGCCATTAGAAAGAGGGTCATGAAAAACCTATAAAAAAATGGTTCATGAAATTTTAGTTCACTCATAAAGCTAAAGTCCGCCTGCTCTGGCAAAAAATGCCCACTGTGTAGAGCAGGTGGACATATGCTGTAGGAGTGGTATGAAAGCCTATAAACACGTTCTTCTATAGGTTTTCCAATATGCTTTTTCTAATGATGAGATTTTCAGTACTCAAAAGTACTTTCTTGTGGGTTTTCTGGAGACCGGATCTCTGGAAAACCCATAAAAAATATTTTTGCATTTCGAGAACCTCACTATTCGAAAGATCATATTTGAAAACCTATAAAAAATGTATTTATAGACTTGTGTACTATTGCTAAAATAAATATCTAAATTCCTAAGCAAAATTTGCTGCGGACAAGCTTTCAAGTTTATAATTCAATTTGATCGAAAATCTTTCTGCAGAAAAATTAAAAAGCTATACATCATTCGATGCAGGTTTTCACGGTGATTCCGAATATGGCATTATTTGTACGAAAAAGTGCTTTGATGAGAGAGAAAAATGTGAAATACGCTAAAACCCCTTGGGATTTTGGAAAATCCATAAAACCTCCTTGGAAAATATGCGAGATTTTGCGATTTTAGAATACATAGAGTAGCGTTTGATGAACATTTTGATGTGTTTGAATGTTATTTTCGCGTGGGGCTAACGAGGGCGACCCGACTATACTGGAGTATTGTTACT